CCCTAGTATATTTTTACTAATCATTTCCCTATTGTTACTTTATTTCAGTTTTGTCTGTTATAAATATTAGATAGCAGTATTCTTATTTCCAATCTGAGAGCACTCATTTTTTTTAATAAGAGATCATTGTCCATTCTTTTACACTTATTATCATGGTAATTGATAATTTAGTTTTATTCTCTCAATATAATTTGTAACATGATTAAATAATTTAGCTATGCAATATTTACACTTTTTAGATGCAAGAATCCTTCTTTTAAAATTATTTTTTAAATTATCTTCAGAGAATTCTGTGAATTTCATACACAATATTTAACATATGTAAAGGTTAGTGCTAATATAAGAGAATGTTTCTTTTTCCTTTCCCTTATGTTCTTGAAGACAAATTGAGTGGAAGCAATAGCGTGAATAAAAGACAAAAAATTGCTCAGGACTTTCTCAACTCTATTGACCAGACAGGAGAACTTTTGGCAATGTTGGAAGATGATGAAATTGATGAAGTTAAACAAGAAAGAATGGAGGTATGGTACATTTTTCTCTTTTCACAGTAGTGGAACAGTGCACTGTCTGTGTTGTTTGGTTCTGTTCTTCTGTTCTTTAAATGTTGTCAGAAATCCCCAAATCACTGTTTTTATGTCTGATGGCAGCAACATGCCAAGGAGTAAGTGCTAGAGAAGAAGTCAAACTCTGTCTTTAGACTTCAGGAAGTGACTTCTATTTCTGTGTGTCTATTTCCTCACAAGAATAAGTAGGTTTTTCTACTCTGGATCTGAATTTACTGGTTAGCTTTCATGGTTTTATTTATTTATTTTTCCGTGAAAGCTAATTACAATTAAATATTTGCTTTTTCTGTGTTTCAAATCATCCTGTTATCTCTGTGGGCAGAGGTAATCCTTACTGCTTCTGTGTTGGCATATAGCATGAATAGCTCTTTTTCAGGGTGTAGTTGCAGGCTGTGGTGGGACTCAATAGCTAAGGTGGTATCCAGGGTAATTACATGCTTTAGATCACTGTAACACAATGTTAGTGGAGTAGATTTGGTTTCCTTCGGTGTTTTAACAGTGAATACAAAATCTGCGTATCTTTAATTCATCTTAGTTATCTATGCATAAAATCATTGTTTCTTTAGGTATTTGGGGAAAAAATTAAGATGATGATTTCATTTGAGTTCCTCCCAAAATACAAGGCAATAAGAAATCTCCATTTTACCATTCTGTTTAAATTGGGCAAGAGAGGTAATTACAGAATTCCAAAAGATGTGCTAACTGCCTCCTTTATCATAGTCTCTATGCTTGCTAAAAATATAATGATTTCATGTTAAATTTTGGAGGAAGTCCAATAGACATACATGCTTTATAAACTTTAACAATATTCTTTAAAGAATTAGTGTGCTTAGATCATTAACTCTGATCTAAAGCAATGTTCTTTTAGGTATCAATTACCTTAGAAATGTGTGGTTATCTTGGTTTGGGGCAACTGCAAATGGTTTCAGTTCAACTTTGCCTTGGGCCAAAAACATGCTAAGTCGTCCAAAGCACATGATAAACATATATGTCTGATGTCATTATGGCCTAAACAGGATATGATTGTTTAGTGGCATGGTTTCACTTACGATGCATTACACAGAGAACAAATATTGTTTATGCTTTATTTTTTAAAACATTTTTACATTATAAAAATGGGCATTAAGTAAGGTTCATTAAGGAAGGACTCTACATAAAACATTAGTAAAATTGAACAAGTAGGTTTTCAATTTTGATGGGAAAGTCTCAGCTAACCAAGATTTGCCCAGAAGGGCATTCCACAATCAAGGAGAAGAGAAGAAATGGAGCATTTTGTAACACTAAGCTCATAATAGCAGGCTACTGTAGGCCTGGAAAAACGATGAGTCAGTAAGGTACTAGCTGAAGTCAACTAAATATATGAAAATGCAGGACAGAAAAAGCTTGGGCACAGACATGTCTGTATTCCTCTTTCCTGTGATTATATTATTTATTGCATTGTGATAACCAGGATAATAAAATATTAGTAGTTAATAAAAATAGTTAAAATGAAAGTCAGCCTCATCTATAGAGTAAACATGAAATTGGCAGCCTCTTTTAGCTTGAGATCATAACAAAAATCTTCTCTAACCAAGAAACAAAGAGTAGTTTTGATATTTTGCTCATCCAAATAACAGAATTTAACTTAATAAAAAATGCTGGACTTATAGACATAACTGTAGACGGTAGAAAGTGGAACCGTTAAGAGCATAGACTCTGCCTGCTTCTAATTTGACAGGTTATAGTTTCAAGCGTAAACCACAACTGTGGCAGTCCATATGAAACCACTTTGGACTCACAGACTGCAATCTCTTGCTTTTAAAGTGCAGTAGAATAATCAGTCCTGGCATCATTCGGTGATTTAATTTTCCTCTAAGCATCACTTATGGTTGCAGAAACTTTGTTTATTACCTTCTCCCTAGAATGTATGAAAATGGTATAGACCTACCAACAAAACTTACTTTTGGTTTTCTTTCTTTTTCATTTAAATGTAATTTAGAAAAGAAAATCTTTTTCACTTGGGATCCTGGCTTTTTCTCAAAAATTGAGCACCATCCAAAAACCAGACTGAGTTTTTCCCCCGTTGTTTTCAGCTGATATATATATGCCTGGCTTTGTGTTTCACTCACGATTTACTTCATTAGTGTCAGGTATTATGTGATTTCACATACGAAAAATGTCTGAACCGTTACATCCATTTTACCTTGCTGGTGCATCATGACAGTTAACTTTTAACCTGTTTATTTTTCTCCAGCAGCAAATTCCTAATACTTGGATTTGTCTATAGTAGAAATCTGTGATCACAATCCCTGAAGAGCCTTCTAAATTATGAACTAGAGATAAAATGATGTCTATAGTTGTTTTAGTGTATTTGAGGGACTTGGACAGAGAAGTAGGGAAATGGTTAGCATAATACATATAAATACAGTTTGGGGACCAGCAGTTAGCGTAATGGAGTTTCCTTCTAGTCACCCCTTATCCCCACCCACCCTGTCCTAAAATAATACAGGTATGTTTCAATGTTGATAATTTATTGCATTTTAATTTTTAGAATTTTAATAAACTAAATGTGACAGTGTCATCTAAAACCCAAGAAAGTATCACTAAAAGCAGCCAATAACTTTAAGTTTTTATAACAGAAAAGGACCATGGTTACTCACAAAAGAGCTCTACCTAAGTCCCACCCACTCTACTTATAGAGGAAGTAAGAATCTCAAGTTTGTTAGTGTTCAGGTTTACTCTCTGGTCTATGAAGCCACTAAATTTTTGAAGGGTATGTAAATAATGGATGCTTAAAAAAATTAGGTGAACTCTATCTTTTCTTTTTTTTTTTTTTTGGAGAGGTTTTCGCTATAGGGCGCCTGTGCTCGACAGACAGAGAGAGACATAGAGACAGAAAGCGAGAAATCACCCCCCAGTGGGGATGGTCACGCCGCAATCCCTTCTCCTCCATTCTCCTCCTGGGATCTTGGACACGCATGCACACGCGCCCGGTGTGAGTTTTAAGCCACCAGGTCCAGGACGCGAACCGCAGTCGACTACGTGGGAGTCCAGCGACATAGCCATTACACTAACTGCTGGTTCCCGGTGAACTCTATCTTCAAACTAATCCTCAAATTAATAAAAATGAGCAAGAGAACAAGGATTAGAACTTTTCAGAAAGCAGCCTTTAAATGGATTAGAGTGCAGAAAATCCCTAGCAACTATTTGTCTTACACTTTTAAATCAAAGACTTAATACTAGACTCTAGGGAGAAAGTAGAATCATGCACATGAAATTTTAGGTAGCTTAAATTTTTAAAGTAAGATTTAAATTGGATAAAATCTCAGGTGACTATCTGAATTTGTGTAACCTGAAATAAACTTGACTGTAGATTTTAAAACACAAAGTTTCTCATAGAGGGTGGGTGATCAGAGAAATCATGTATATCACTCAGTTGTGTCCTGAGTGTAATGGAGTATAATCTCTGGGAGTTGCGAGTGCCAGAGTTGTAGTTTTTGGTGGTAAGCAGACTAGAAGTCTCATTGAAGAAGCAGTAATGGTACATGGCTGTAGATGTTCTCCATAATGTAATCTCACTTACAAATACAGATACATGAATATTACATATTGTAGATTTTAATTTGGCAGTATTTATGTTAAGAATGTACCACAGCTGGGACCAGCAGTTGGCATAATGGCTATGTCACTGGACTCCCATGTAGTCGACCGTGGTTCAAGTCCCGGACCTGGTGGCTTAAACTCACGCTGGGCGCTTGTGTGTGCGTGCCCAAGACCCCGAGAGGAGAATGGAGGAGAAGGGATTTCGGCATGGCCATCCCCCCTGGGAGGTGATTTGTTGCTTTCTGTCTCTCTGTCTCTCTGTCTCTCTCTGGAGAGTGCACATGCTCTTCTCCCTTGTGATGGCGCACCGCCATAAAAAAAAAAAAAAAAAAAAAAAAAAAAAAGAAAATGTACCACAACTAAGTGGGATTTTTTTTTTTATGAATTTAAGTATGCTTTCAGTATTAGAAAATATATTACCATTATATAGAAAATACCTAGGTCAAGAGAATATAAACTATATGATTGTTTTAGTAGATGATTGAATGATATTTGACAAAATTTACTTTCTGAAATTTTTAGAAATTTTCATTAAGCTGGAAAGAATAGAAAAGTAGCTGCATAATAAAGAATATCTTACTGAAATGAACATAAATCGTTATAGTTTTAAAAATATGAACAGCTCCATTAGACTCTAGAATGCTCACTGTTACCACTTTTATTTGTCAGTGTTCAAGGAGCACGAGACAGTAAAATAAAAGGCACAACTATTGGCAGTTGACAAAAATTTATCATTATGTACAAATAATACAGTTTTTTAACTTAGATTATTTGGGGGAAATCAATCTAAATACAATTAAAATCAGTTAAAGTCTTCAGCAAATCAGTAGATAATGATAAAAATCTGTAGCTTCTCCTATAATTCAGTAATAGTCAATGAGTAAAAATGAAGAGAAAGTCTCATTTAAAATAATACGAGGACAGGGACTGGACTATGGCGCAGCAGTAAAATGCAGTGCTCTGCAAGGCAATCCCACATGAGCGGTCTTTGTTTCAAGTCCAGAGATATCCCTGAGTACTCCAGGCGCATATCTGTCTGAAGGCATCAGGATTCTGCGGGGGCTGCTGTCTCTGTCTTTTTTTCCTTACTCATGTAAGAAATAAACAGTTTAAAATATAATACCAGTAATATACGAAAATATTATTTGAAAGTAAACTTCATATTAAGAAATGTAAGAAAAATATGTAAGTAATATTTAATAATGAACTGAAGCATGTGACATGTATCAGTGGTGAAACACCGTCCCTGGGTACACACTGAGTATTGGAAGCTTCTTACCTGTTTCCAAATTCATGTATTGGTTTAGTGTCATTGCAACAAAAAGGGAGATTTTGTTTTCAAGAAACATTAGAAAATGATATTGAAAGTATCTGAA